AACAACAACAACAATAATAATAACAATAATAACAATAATAATAATAATAATAATAATAATAATAATAATAACAATAACAATAAAAATAACAATAAATATAACAACAACAATAACAATAACAACGATAATAGTAATGATAACGATAAAAACAATGAAAAGTGTAAAGATAAATTCATACAAAATTTTTATATTTATTTAATTTTGTTCTATTAATGTCCATTAATTCCATCCCGCAAGGAGATAAACTCACAAAACACTCCTAATAAAATGTGGAAATAGTAAGATCTTTCTATAGTGGCTATTTTTTACGTGGTGATCTTTGTCAAGGGTGATGGTAGAACAACAAAAACAAGTTATTTCTTTGACAAATTACATTGTTTAACAATTTCACTATGTTAAGGACATATATCGGGTTTACTGAAATGCAGAGATGTACTTGAAATTTATATAGCATATTTCGCAGTGCTCCCTCTGTGCAATTTTTTTTTGAATCTGGATTTTGAGATATTGTTGTTAAAAGTTGTTCATTTTAACAAAGGCTTATATGGCGAAAATTGACAGGCCATGGCTTTTTTATCCCACAACTGAGAAAAAAATTTAGAAATCGTGAAACAAAAGTTTTCCATAGATAGCACACAGTATTTTTTTATGTTAAACTAATGTAAGTTTTGAACATAGTACAGCTGTATTAATTAGAAACAGAAACCAATATTTGCATTTCTGTCTGACTTGAGGATTAATGTGACAACGTCGCAATCCACTGACAGCAAGGAGGGAATACATTTGAAAGACTTGATAAAAATTAAATTGATTTCAAACATATACATTTTTCCTAAATCCCATGTACATTGTTATCAACAATAAATTATCCACAACAGATTATTGTTTGTAATGTTTTTAAAAAACTAAATTAATTAAAAAAGGTTAGGAAGCTGAGATATATTTATTGGAATAAAAAATACCGTTGATAAATCCTTTTAATATATTTATTGGTTTATAAAAATATCGTAATCATTACCCAGCAACATTTAGGGTTACATAAAGTTTTCTTTACTTGATTAATATAATTAGTAATACTTGAGATAAAAGCATTTGTACGGAATAACAAAGGAACATAAATATTTCTCAGCAAACTTTATATCTAAAAAATTAGTTATAGTTGCAAAACTTTTGTAACATTACTAAAATAGAGATTAAAAACA